ATGTATAATATATTTCAAACATTATTTTTAGTGGATAATAAAAATATCAGTTTAAAAATAAATAATTAACTCTTTAAAAAGACTTATAATATTGTTGCAATACAATTGCTATTTATTTTATACTACTGCCTTTTTTTTAGACTAAAAGCATTGGCAACAATATTTACACATGGAAATGACGGGTGTGAAGAAGTGAATTTTTTTTTATATTTTTGTTTTTATATAGGGGAGTAAAAAGAGAGAAAATACGCAGCTATGCATCGAAAAAAGACAAGACATTACAAGCCAGCAATTTTTTTAAATCAATTCACCCCAAGCTATTTGAGGAAAGCACATCTCTTCACCCAGATCAATTTACTTGTGAGCCGTTACTTGCTCAGTTTCGTAACCAAAATGTAAACAAAGCAAATTCTAAAACTTCTATTTTTAATCCGGCATTCTTATTACTTCAAACTGAAAATTTGATGCCCCATTTTTATTTATTGATCAAATAGTGTGTAAATATATCTACCCCCCTATGCATTCAAGAAATTCAAGTCAAGAAAATATGTCCTTCAGCAGGAAGTGACTCCCATTTGTAAAGGAAAATACTGTTTGATTAGTGTTTGTGTTCATTCATTTTTAAATTCTATGATTTTTTGTTTTCAATTGTTGTGGACATAAATGACCTTATGAACATTCTTCTGATGCTCAAAGCTGTTGCAGATTCTGTGTAAAACTGGTGATAGCCATGTTTCCTTAATGCACCGCAAGTCTCATTATCTTGTCCTTCACCAAGGAAAAGTATCTCCTGTGCATGATCAAAGATATTTTGAGAGAATGCCATGATAAATTCTTTGCTACTGTCAAAGGTGAGAGAATAAGCAAAGTCATGAAACAACTGGCATCATATCGGAGCTCAAAGGTGCATGATTCTATCACCAAAACTATGAGGTTGTCTGTTAACCCAGTGCAAATAACAAAACCCTATCCCATTTTTCACTCTTTGCCTTATCTGTCCAGAAGAAAGTGCATACAGAACCTGATTCTGTCAACTGACCTCTGTCACTTAAATGGATTTCTGAAAGGGTAGTAATGTTGCTACTGTACTGAACTAACTCTTTCACAAGAAATGCCATAGGATTACTTGACACTTCACAAAGTATAGGGACATTCATCCTGTCTTAGAGCTGAACTGCTTAGCAATATCAGTTTCGCAATAGGGAAGTGAATGCTGGACAATTTCCTCACAGATGAAGAGGAGACTTGAGGCAATAGAGATGTGGTTCTACAGAAGGATGTTGAGAATACCATGGACTGAACATGTGAGCAATGAGGAAATTTATGCAAAATGTGAACAAAAGGGACAATTATACTTTGAAATATAGAGAGTTGAAATTTCTTGGATAGATAATAAGGAAAGAGGCTTGAAGAATTGGACACTCACAAGACATACTGCAGGCAAGATAGGCAAATGGAAATGGCAAGTAACCTACTTAACAAACTTGTGTAATAAATAGTAGAACAAAGACTGGGAGGGATTGTCTGGGAACGAATATTTGATTAGAGCTAGAAAGGACAGGAAATTGTGGATTGGTTTATTGGCTGGCTTTATTGTTTTACAGCCTATCAACCTCAATATGTTATTTAATGCTGACAAGATATTTAGCATACGTTCATATGAATAGAATATGTATTATTTATAAGAAATCAGTTTTTGTAGATCAGGTTTCATTTGTTGAGAGTCAGATTTTTGGTAATATTTTTTCCAAAAGATGTATTATTGGTATTTTTACTACAAAAACCTATTTTTACACTTTCATCGTGCTTTAACCTCAGTTTGAAGGTTAACTATTATATTATAAAGCTGGGACCCTAACAAGTGCTACCACCCTGGGTCAGGGTGGACGTGGTAACAACAGCAATTAAGAGGTGGTTCTATGCCCCTCAAAACCTCCTGATCAGAGACCTTGATGCCGGATGCCGGAAGTTGTGGACAGCCGTTATCACCCCCACGTTTAGCACTTGAAAGAAAAAGAATTTTTAATGCAGCACATGCAGATTGAATACTGAAATTTGTTAAAACAAATTTTTAATTAAAAACGGAAAAATTTGATTTTTAACCAGTATTTTCCTCCACTATCAGAAATATTTAGTTTGATAGTGCAGAAACTGAGTAAATTTTGTGGGAGAAATGGTGTAGTAGTAATGTTAGTGGTCAAAACCTTACCTAAACATGGTAATGGTAATATTAGCCATTTCCTTATAAGGAAACATTCAGCATTCATTTACCAAACAGCCAGTGCTATGAGAATCAGAGTTAGACAACAACTGTATTTAGTCTTATTATGCACCCTCACCACACACACCACAAATCATTGGGTCATTATATATATATATATATATATATATATATATATATATATTATGAAATGGACTAAGTCCAACAATTATTTTAATATATTTTTTTTATTTATATGTTATTTTTATAGATACAAATATTTAAGTAAATGCTCTGTTTATAATAAACAATATTAAAAACATTATAAACAGAGCATTTACTTAAATATTTTCATCTATAAAATTAACCTATTAACAAAAAATATATTAAAGTTATTGTTGGATTTAATCCATTTCAGGATATACGATATTGTTTGTTTATGTTAAGATGCACTTTGAGCAGATATGAGCATTCAAGAGAAAGCATGGGAAATTTGTAGTTTAAAATCAGTAATTTCACCTTGCTGACCAGATGCTTCCTCTGTAAGAAAATGGTATAGAACGTCAGACTATATGACAGTTCCATGTAGGATACTGGTTTGATTCCTGTCAGAGGACACATTTTCTTCGAGATTTCTCAGACATTCAAGCCAGTAAATGTTAATATTGTTTATTATAAACAGAGCATTTACTTAAATATCTGTGTCTATAAAAATAACATATAAACAAATATATATATATATATATATATATATATATATATATATAATTATCAACCTGGATAAAGGTTCCAACATCTTTCTTTTAATGAATCCTGCACATAATACCACACAGATTGGAGGATAAACAATTAGTTATAAATAATATTTCAATATTATTATTTAAATAACTCAAATGAAAATCTAAGATTTATAAAGTGGATTAAAATGTGGTGTCCCCAAATGTAACAATAAAATATGAAAATGAAATATCTGTCTATATTTCTGAGATTAGGTATCGTAATTATTTATATTATTTACATTGTTCGAACTCTTGTCCTTATCTTTAATGTCATATTCACAACATGAACATGACAATCTACTAGAACAATTTACCATGGTGGACAAAATAAGGGGTTCAGTTTGAAATTCCAATTACCTGAAGAAGGCTGGAGTGTACAATGGTCGTAACATTGTGAATATTTCAATAAAGATGAGGACAAGATGCAAATAATAAAAATGAAATATTAAAAAAATAAAATTAAAATAACCCATTCATTTTCCTTAAAAATACCAAATCTCTTTTTCTCTCTCTCTCTACCATTCCCTCTTTCCCTTTCTATACCATTCTCTCTCTCCCTCTATACCATTCTCTCTTTTCTTCTCTCTCTATACATTTTCTTTTTTCCTCTCCCTTTCTATACCGTTCTCTCTTTCCCTCTCCCTCTCTATATCGTTCTCGCTTTCCCTTTCCCTCTCTATACCATTCTCTCTTTCCCTCTCCCTCTCTATACCATTCTCTCTTTCCCTCTCACTTGCACAACTAATAAGAAGACAACTCATAAAGAGAAGAAGAATAACAAATGACTGAACAACTGCTACAAAATGGAAGTTTGCTCATCCAGGGTCGAGTTATTGTGATTAGAAATCTAATAAAACAACAAAGGCTCCATGCATAACTTCCACTGGAAAATAAATAAAGGTTGTTCCAATAACTTGGACCAATTTTAAACTTAATTCACATTTAAAATTGGTCCAAGTTATTGGAACACCCTTTAGAAGAATTTTGGTCAATCAAAAGATTCAAAGAGACCATTTGATGTTAATCAAAACCAAGCTTTTTGTACATAAAGAGACAGCGGGAGTGGAGACAGCAAAACAACTGGCTCAGGCATGTCACGTGAAGAACTAAATGGTCATCTGCTTAAGACATTCTTCCACCGAGAATACATCAGATTGTCACCACAACATGTTTTCAATGTAACCACACTCCCAACAGCTACCAAGATGACGATGACTACTATCAAAGTCTGACTCATAAACTAACTACTACTCAGTCAAACAAACTTTCACCAACCAGATTTTCAAAAGGACTTGCCCCAATTGAAGTCAATTAAATAAACATATTATTCGTTCATATCTTTCATTTTCTTTATTTTGTAGTGTTCCGAATTTTCCAATAAATATTACTAAAACCTACTGGCGTTTCTCCACAAAAGCGTCGATTTTGTTGACACAGTAATTGTGAGTTCAATTCCTGGGCTGAGTAGTGCAGACTTAGACAAAGTGAAAACAGGGTGAGAAATAACTGAGCAGTACAAAATAAGAACTAGATGAGTTGTCTCCCTTAGACAGATTCAGTGGAACAAGAATAATCTAGTAGCATCGATTAAATGAAATTGTTCGGTTCGAAAATCCCCTGAAGGTTACCATGAACAAAAAGAACCTGATGAAAGACAAGGGGACAAAACATTTGAAACATTGTGATAATAACGACAAAGATAAGGAGAATAGTCTAAGTGAAATAATGTAGATAACAATTACTACTCACCTCAGAAATTCAAACATAAAAAAAAGATCACAAAATATACATTTAAATAAGAGTAGTAAGTATATGAAAGCAAATATTTTTATATTTGTTTATATTGTTCAACTGACGAATTTCATTAAATAGCATTCAACCAATTAATAAGTCTGCCAAATGAATAGATAAATTCCAATTCTTTCTTGTGTTCTGCTATTGTAATATTAGCTTTTATTTAGTGTAATATTAGCTTTTAGTGTAGTTCATACAAGACAATTTAATAAAGTATAATTACTTACCAAACACATAGAATATTGAAGGCCAGCCTCCTAAAAAATCAGAATTTGCTAAGGCACCTGATATTGGTAAAGACAATACAGTTCCCATGTGAGAACCTGAAATATGAAAAACATTTTTAAAATTTTCATATATATATATATATATATATATATATATATAATAATGTTTCACTAAAAACGACAGACAAAGTACTACAGTTAAGCTTTTTATTTAATTTTTCTTTTGTTTGAACAAGAGCTTTCTTTTCTGGACACAGAGTGTGTAGAAACTGTCCAAATGTTCTATAGTTCCAAGTGCTTTCAGCTATACTTTTAGCCATTATCAAGGATGATTTTATTTTTTCAGTTTAATTGAGTGTGTGTTTATGTGTATGTTTTTAGTGTGTTATAGAGATGTTTTATTTTCTGAACACGGTTAGCACATTGTGGCCTAGTTTGTAGTTAATATTGTTAAGAGTTGCCTTTTTCTTTTTTATTATTAGGGCTTCCATTATTTTTAATCTTTTTTACAGGTGGAGGAGGTTATTATGTTTGTGTTTTCTACTAGTATGTTTCAAATGGTGTGTGTGTGTATAAATGGGTCCTAATAGAGCTATGGTCAGATAGGTGTAAAGTAAGGCGTCTGGATAGGGATGTAGTTGTGTGACTGATGTACATACCTATCCAGACACCTTACATTAAAAACATACACATAACAAACACACTCAATTAAACTGAAAAAATAAAATCATTGTTGATAATGGCTAAAAGCATAGCCAAAAGCAGTCGAAATTATAGAATATTTGGACAGTTTCTACACACTCTTTATCCAAAAAAGAAAACATTTGTTCAAACACAAGAAAAATTAAGTAAAAAGCTTAACCGTAGTACCTTGTTTGTCGTTTTTAATGAAACATACATAAATGAAGGATTGCTGCCTAAATACACCATATATATATATATATATATATATATATATATATATATATATATGCAGGTATGTGAGAGTGATGAGACAAAGTGGAAAATTCTTAGTCAAAGACACATTTTGCCAGATACAAGCTTAGCTTATGTTCTCTTTGGTTTCATCAGTTCAACTAAAAACTCTCCTTTTTGTTTTGGGTACGAATATACATCAAATACAGACACACATATTAAACAAGAAAATATCGTTCATGTAAATTAGTAGACATGTGAAATAAAATAAAGAGTATAAAAAAGTTTCAGCATCAAATGTAAACAAAAATCAGTTCTTATAATTGTTAATTTGTTTTCTTGAATCAATTATTTTGTATTTAAGTTAAAATAGTGGGAGGGAAAAGGAAGAAAAAGGGAATAAAAAGCAGAGGAAAGTGAATAGGAAAAGAGAGAGAAATATATAGAAAAACTGGGAGGTAAAAAAAGGAGAAAATGACATGGAAGTAGAAAAACTGAGGAGAAAAAGGGAAAGGTGAAAAAGAAGAAAATGAAGGGGAGGAAAAGAAGAAAAAGGGAAAAAAGAAGAAAAAGGGAAAAGAAAAAGAAGGAAACAGAAAGAGAAAAAAGAAGGGAAAAGGTAAAAGAAGAAAAGGGGAAAGCAAAAAAGACAAAAGGAAAAAAAAAGAAGAAAATGGAAAGGGAAAAAGAGGAGAATGGAAAAAAAGAGGAGAATGGAAAAAAAGAGGGGAAGGGAAAAAGAAGAAAACGGAAAGAGGAAAAAAGAAGAAAACGGAAAGAGGAAAAAAGAAGAAAACGGAAAGACAAAAAAAGAAGAACAAGAGAAAAGATAAAAGAAGAAAAGGAGAACACAAAAAAAGAAAAAGGGAAAGGTAAAAGATGAGAAAGGGAAAAAAGAAGAAAAAAAAAGATAAAACAGGAGAAAAGAAGAAAAGGGAAATGGAAAAAAGGAGAAAAGAAAAAAGTTGGAAAGGGATAAAACAGGAAAAAGGGAAAAGGAAAAAAGAAAAAAACGAGAAAAGGAAAAAAAGAGAGGAAAGTGGGGGAAAAAGAGGAGAAAGTGTGGGGGGGGAGGAAGTGGGGAGTGGGGGGAGGAGAAAGTGGGGGAGTGGGGAGGAGAAAAGGGGGGAGTGGGGGAGGAGAAAGTGGGGGGGGGGGAGGAGAAAGTGGGGGAGTGGGGGAGGAGAAAAAGTGGGGAGTGGGGGAGGAGAAAGTGGGGGAGAGGAGAAAATGGGGGAAAGAGGGGAAGGAAATACAAAAATATGAAAAACTGATTGACAGAAAAGTAGTGAGAAAGAAGAAAAAGGGGGGAGTCAAAAATCAGCAAAAGTGAAATGAGGAAAGGTGAAAAATGAGCAGAAAAATGTAGAAATGTTAGAGAAAAAAAGGAATAAAAGTGTGAGGGGGGGGAAAAGGAGAAAAAGTAAGATAGGATAAAAAGAAGAAAAGTGTGAGGTGGGGAAGGAGAAACATGACGGAAGGAAAAAGAGAAATGTGAGTAGGGGGGAAAGAGAAAAAGTGTGAGGGGAAAAAGATCACTGTTGAGAGTAAAAGGCAAAAAAAGGAAGTCTTAATCTAAGAAAATGAAAAGGGAGTAAAAAAAAAAAGTACAAATTATGGAAAGAAAGAAAGAAAGAAAGAAAGAAAAGAAAAACAAAAACCCTCCAAACTGACCTGAATATGTGAATGTGACTAATTTGCTTCTTTCCATTTGTGGAGCCCATTTTCCCCAAATGGCATGCATGGCTGGGAATGTAACACCCTTTCAAAAGAGAATGAAAAACATGAATGATATTTTGCACAATGACAGAGTTTCATTTGAATGCTCATCTTTCCTAAGATTGGCAAAATAAAAGTTTCTAACTCGTAAATTCACTCATGCCTCCATGAACAGATCAGATTGGTTAGTTGTTTGGATCAAATCAAAAAATACATTTGATTGTACTTCAATTTAGAAATACAGAAAATATTGATTGATTTTAATCTGAAATTATATTTTTTGATAGGAAACTTTGAAACATCTTCAAATATAATATCTTTGATGTTTACTAAATCAACAAAAGTAAAAACAAAAGCCATAACATAGGGCTTTCAGCGAGGATTGAACTCATGACATTTCAAGGTGGAAATTTCTCTATTACACACATGGATTGCCTGAAATGATATATTGGAGAAACCGCAAGAAGTTTAAAAATTATATGAAAACAAGAGACATTTTTAAAAACAACACATTAAACATGTTAGTTGCTCACCATAACAAGACTGAACACAATTTTAAGATAAAAAATGCTACTCTATTTAAAAGAAAAAATAATTCACTAAGCTGAAAATGTTTAGAAAGTGCTTTAATCACAAGTTCAGCAACTGTAAATTTACGTCCAGATTCTTACAACATTTCACCATTTTTGGCAGATTGTCTGTTATCACAATGTTGAATATTTAATAACAAAAACGATGGAAACAAAAGCAAAAAGAATAAGAATCTAATCAAAATCAGCTAGATTATATACACATAACAGATGAAAAATTTCTAAATTTTTCTAAATTAAAAAATTCCCAGCGTCTCATTCATACGCATGTGTAGTTACATCAACATAAACGAATCTAGTCAGATGAAATCCTAATGAACAAAATATGTCACAAAAATTTCATTAATCAATAGTATTTAGAAAAATATGACAAAATATAAAAGATATTGTGATGCATCACAAAAACTTTTCCAGTTTGTCATATTTTTATATATATATATATATTGGTCAAAATAAATCATGAACTACTGCCGTATTTTTGTGATATGTTAAGCTTTTCCTTGATTGTATATCAGATTGCTCTGTAGTCAATACATTGAGTTCTCTATAAATTTATCTTTTTAATATTTTATATCCTTTCCATTTATGGATTTGATATATATATATATATATATATATATATATATATATATATATATATATATACACACATGATAAAAATATAGTTTTATGGTTAGATTGGTCAATATTAGGGATAGAGCATGTGTAAATATAAAAGTACACAGAGGTCAACACTGAATGTCGACAGTCTTTTTCATGCTTAAACACAATGTCTATATCAAAATGTTTGTTAATTTTAGAAAAAGATAACAAAGAAAAATTGAAAATATAAATCAGGATTTAAGCTTAAAATACTTGCAGATTAAAAAGTCATTATTTACAACATACAATAAAATAATCTATACTACTTTATTTCTACCTTTTAGAAAATGTGAAGTTGATAAACATAACTTGGTAAGCAAGAACAGATAGTAAAAATTACAAATGATCTTCAGGTTAGTTGGACAAAAAACAAATAAATACTAATACTGAAAAACCCAGTAACTATGGAAAAAGTTGAAAGAAATAATAAATAATACATATATAACTTCAAATAAATATAATAATTATAATATATATAATAAATGAAATAAAAGCCGAGGATGGTAGGTAGAGAGAAGTGGGTGTCCTCCAGGGCTCCATACTTGGTTTCAACTTGGCATCTACACTGAGGTAACTATCATTTATTCCTGCCTCAATAGGAAGGCTGATCAGTCAGACAAGGTCAAAATGGCAGCTGATGTACAAAACAACCTCAAGACTATTGTCAACTAGGACAAAAGATGGCTTGTCAATTTTAATGTTTCGAAAACTAAACTTCTCTCCATTAATCATCTCACTACCTTCCATCAGCATTGCTGCTGCTCTCCTCCAAGAAAGTAACTCATTGCATTTTCTCAGGCTAACATTCACAGCTGACATTAAATGGAAAGACTATATTGAATCCATTGCTAGATCAGCTGCTAAGAAAGTCAGTTCATTGTGTCGGGTGAGCCAATTTTTCTCTCCAGAATCTATCTTACATATCTATGTCTACCATTCACCCATGCTTAAAATATTGTTACCACATATAGCCCAGTGCCCCTGCTCTTTACCTGAAGCTCCTTGATAAGCTCCAAAGAAAAATCAGCAATATTATTAGTCCTGATCTGGCATCTCGGTTTTAGTCACTTGCCCACCACCATTGGGTTGCCTCTCTGTGACTTTTTTATAAATACTTTCATGGTAATTGTTCAGATAAGCTCTTCACTATGGTACATAAACTGTATGAATTTAAGCACAATACTAGACTAGTGGCTATATCTCATCAATTTACACTTGAACTAGCTAGATGTAGCCATAAATTCTATGCTAACAGTTTCTTATCTCACACTTGTCGCATATAGAACTGCCGCCCGGCTCCATGTTATCCAACCAACTTTAAACAGCAAAAATTTAAATGCAACGTCAATAGCTATCTACTGTCCTCCTGACTGTGCTTTTCTCTTTCTCCTCATTACTAATGTTTCTCTTCTTAATTCCTCCACACCCTGTAACCTCTTGCGTGTTAGTGGCTGTACTGCCTTGCTTGGGGTGATACCAATTTAAAAAAAAAAAAAAAAAATTATAAATATGAGAATGAAATGCCTTAAGTAGCAATGACTAGTGTGTTAATGACTGCTCCAGCGTGAAATCTACATGATATTTACTATATTTAATTTAGTGCTATACAAGGACAAGTGTGAGATCCCCAATGAGGATCAACCTTATTATTGTAGCAATGCATGGTTAATTTGCAAACTCATCCAACAACAGAAAAAGACACCCTGTGCAGCATGTGCACTGGTTTTTCACCATTGTGCAAACAGAGCATGCAATTTTTTTCAGATCTAGAACCACTGATCTCACAACATATGCAAATTCTCCAAATTGACCAAAAATTGATCCCCCAAGGGCATTAAAGCTTGGTGGTGTTTACTAAATGACATCGCGATGGGGGTTTTTGGTAAGATGAGTGAAATGTAGCAAGGACTTTGCCTACTAGTGAAGAATCCTGACTATTGCCAAGAACTTTCTCTACATGCCCTGCAGTTAATAGACTGATTAATCTCTTCCGCTTTTGTGGGTATAAAATTACATGAGAGAAAGTTGTTTATAGTTAAGATGGCAATGAGCATGCACACAACTAAATATAACAAATGGTGATGCAATCCATATTGCTCATTATTACAGATAACCAAAATATATATGAATTTTTACACACTATATAGGTTTCAAATAATCACTATTATGTCTGAATTTCTGGGATGAGGAGTTGTTATTTACAGTATTTCATTTTTTTTTTACTATTGATTCAATAGTGAATTTCTTCCTTTATTATTTAACTCACAAATATTTATTTTTTAGCAATAACAATAATAAATGTTCTCAAATATTTAATGATAATTTTAAACGTTTACTCTTTTCTCGTTTATTGATTTGTTTATATTATTGTCATTAAAGTAATAATAAGTAAAATGGTACATTTGATAATGAACTGTTCATCCACTGTAAAATATATATGGTCGTTCCTGGTAATCTCAGAGAGTTTGCGTGGTCCACAATTCTTGTAGAGCCACCCATGGTGATATGGTCAAGAAGGAACAACCAGACTGAATGCAACCAATCTCTGAAGAACCCAACAGCAGAATAGGTAAAGATCTAAGATCTCAAAAGTCAAACAAGTAGAAGAGGGCAGCACAGTCAGAATGGCGTAACCAATGCGGACCTTGACAGACCAAGTATCCAACAGCCTGATGCAACTTGGTTCACCAGATCTTGCCTCTCTCAACCCCTTTAAGCCATGAGGGAAGCACTTCTGGCCAAGTGTATGGGCGTCATTGCACAGTTGTCCACCAAAATCAAATGGCCTCATCAAACTCTCTTCCATTCTCAGGTGTATATCATTGATAACCTACAGGGAATTCCGAACTGAACCCTTTATTTAATCTACAAAGGTACTAAATGATATCCTTAGACATGAGCAGTGGGACAAGAACAGTCTACCGCCATAGATTAAATAAATGGTTCAATTCAGAATTCCTTGTAGGTTACCCAGATCAATATATACCTGAAGAAGGCCGAAGGGTACAATATCTGAAACATTGTGATAACAAAGATGAGGGCGATAGTCAGGATATAAATAGTGTAAATAATTGTCACAATCATGTTCTTAAGATAATAGCAAATTATATGACTATCAATGTAAAACTAGTCATAGTTGCTTTTAAAAAAAATGAACACAATCAATTTTAATGGGAAGTAGAAAATCTGAATCTCTAAGGCAGTGTTTCTCAACCATTTTTAACTTCAGGGCTGTGCACTTGTAGAATAACTAAAACTTTGGAGTGCACTTTAAATTTTAATAAGGAAATATTAGTCATGAAATTTGAAAACAGGAAAATAATCAAGAATTCTCCAGAAATAAGCATTTATTTTAAGACGTATATTATTTAAGCGGTAGAGTTTTCACTTAAAATGGATTTATGAAAAATCTATTTCTTTTTTTAGAGAGACCGATAATGACAGATTTAAATTCATCGAGGAAGGCAAAAGAGAAAGGAGTATCCAGCCTTTCTTAAAGATCAATGAATTTAGTATACAGTTTAAAATATCAAATGACAATAACTTAACTGAGATATGAAAACCATGTGCTTGGTGTTTCTAGCTTTTGAAAAATAAAGATTTTTAGATATAAAAATAATTAATAGAATACACTTCTGTTAACTTGGGGTGCACTTGGCTACCTTTCAGGACACATTAGTGCATCAGAGTGCACTGGATAAGAAACACTGCTCTAAGGTATAGGTTTATAATCTTTACATCAGATTGGTGGAAATGCATTCTATAAACTTTATAACTTGTATAAGTCAGCTTCGAATTGATTATTAATTTTATGGTTAGAGTATTGAACTGTTATGTAATATCAGTCCTCCTATATGGCAGTGAATGCTGGACAGCCTCTTTACAGATGAAGAAGAGGATACTTGAAGCAACAGAAATATGGGACAATAGCATAGTGGATTAAGTTGATTCGTGAATTTGGTGATATAGTAGTTGTGAGTTCAATCCCTGGGCCGGACAGTGCATATTTGAACTTAGTAGAAACAGGTGAGCAATAACAAGTACAGTACTAAAAATAAGAACTAGACAAGATATCCCTAGACAGTGGAATGAGAACAGTCTCAACCTGTAGATTAAATAAAGGGTTCAGTTCAGAATTCCTGTGTTACCCACATCAATATATGGGTGAAACAATAACAAAAATGAGGACAATAGTTAGAATATAAATCATGTAAATAATAAATCTTCATCCCAGAAATTCAGACATAAACAGAAATGTGGTTCTACAGAAGGATGTTGAGAATACCACAGACCAAACACATGAGCAACAATGAAGTTTTAGAGAAAATGGAAACAAAAAGGACACTTAACTTAGGAGGAGATACTTGGAATTTCTATTGTATATAATGAAGAAAGAGGGTTTGAAATGCTTATTGTCAACTGATGCTGAAAGCACAAGTGATTGGCAGATCACCAAAGTTAAACAGAAACAAGCCTGAAGAAGACTTGAATGGGTGACCACTTAAGCAACATTGACCCTGTATGTCCATACTAAGCAAAACTTATTCAATTACTACAGGTCATGTATGTGTATGTATATATATATATATATATATATATATAGAATAAATTACAAACATTATGTTTGCTTATTTTTATCATAATCCTCTCAAAGAAACAATATTAACAAAAATATATTGGTCTATTTTTCACATTAGAAAAAAATGTTTTTAAAATTCAATAAACTACTAAAATACACGAAGTGGTTAATTTCTATTTTCTTGCATTTTCTGTGCTTTAGTAAGTACCAAAGTTTGCAAATTAAAATGGTAGAACTGTACTAACACCACTTATTATGATGCATTACTAAGTGAACTATAAAATAATAAAGGCTGACTGTATTTTTTTGGTTATTTGTTGTGGAGTATAATTGACAGCTTTTCTGCATAATATTTTTAGTTCTACTAAAACTGCAGACAGGAAGCAATAGTCTAGATGTTGCACCCAAAACATCATCCATATTATAATTCCATAATCTGTCTCATCTATCCATAACAGTGACATAGAAAGTGAATTATTAATTTCTTAGCAGTTTTTCTTTTCATTACATATTTATCATAACGCTTAGGTCATTTTTTAGATTTTATGATTGTTCTGGCCCATTTTGGGAAAAATAGGAAATTCCTATTTACTTGAAATAAATACCCATAATGATGCTGACAGCGAGTTCTCATGGCCGCTGCCATTTTGGTTTTGGTCAGATACACTACAGTACTAACTAAGCTAAACAACAGCTTCATCATACAATAAAAATATGTCACAGAATAGATCGTATTCTATACCAATATACATCTATGCTGGTTTGAAAATAGAACTAAGCATTAGTCACTTTATAACACAAATGCTAGGGATTGGTATTGATTGGTTTCTTGAAAATGCATACATATGTCATCAGCAGGCAATGTCTTTTGAAAATGTATATAAATGTCAACAGCAGGCAATATAAGCTTCATAAAGATATACAAGTACTACCACAGCAGAAAACATGTTAAACAAGCACTCAGCATTGCAAATAAAGCAGCTGTCATCAAGATTTGAACTCACATAAACAGCAGCAATAAATAAAAACAAAATGTAAAGATTGATTGAGTCATTCATTTTCTACAGCTTAACTCTTTGCAGGCTATTTAAAGCCAGAAAATATTTTTAGAGTGTAAGAATTTTTTGGGAGATAGTAATAGTTTAGTGATACAAGTCTTACTAATTAACGCATAGCTGGGGGAAGAAGAGGTGAATTCATAGCTTTCCCAAGATTATTTGCACATAATATAACAAACTCAGCAGGAATTGGAACTCAGCTCTCTGATTAACAATTGAGAGCCATTATCCATTATACCACCTGCACGTCCAAACTTACAGCACCTGGTATTCCTAAGTGATCACCCATCTAGGTACTGACCAGGCTCAACTTTGCTTAACTTTGGTGACTGTATGGGAAACAGTATTTCAATGCTATATGAGCCTAAAATGAAAAGAAAATCTAGTCAAAAACTAATAATATGCTTGATCTAAAACAATGTAAAGTGAATGGTATTTGGAAAAATTAACATGAAAAAAAAAATCAATAGACTCAATCCAAATCACCAGTCCAATACTCTAACACTGAATAATCCTCTGTTCCAAGTTAGTACATAAGAAAGAAATGTTGGTATTTTGAAAGAAAATAACTCTCTAAAATAGGGACGTCCAAGCTACATCCTGCACTGCAGCCCACTTAATATTTCCATGTGACCCACTGCACCCTAAAATCTTTAGGGATATTTTCATTTACTTTAGTAATGTATGTTGAGAAAATTATTCTTAAATTGTGCTAGTAAGTTCACTTCCCCATTACACTCAAAAGGAGAAGAGGGCAAAGGCCTTTGCTGAGACACACTGGCTGGCGTGTGGGGCAAGAGCCAGAACTGAATAAAAATTATTTAGCTTATCTAGAAAACCATTATGCATGTGGGGCAGTACATATTGCTGTGAACAATTCTTTTTGTGCATGAAAAACATCAAAACTGCTAAAAGAAATAGGTTGAGTGATTTCCATTTAACTAAAATTCTTAGAATAAAGATGAATACCATAAAAGCAGATATTGACAATATTATAAATGGAAAGCAATGTCAAAAATAACATTGAATTTATTTTAATTTGTCTATGAATAATTTCTTCATTTTACTGTAAATATACAGTATTTTTTTGTAATTATATATATATTTGTTATTAAAATTTGATATTTACAACGTTTTGAACTTTTGAAAAGCATATTTATATAAAGTTCTTTTACAGCCTGGTGAATATACATAAATTTCTAATTTGGCCCATTAGGGGAAATGAGTTGGACAACCCTGATGTAGGCTTAGAAAACAAGACTTTGCAAGGAAATAGTATACAAGAAAGACAATTAGTATTTAGAAAATAAACAAAAACTATGTTCCTCACTTCACCTAATCCTTCCAGAAGTCGAACAGCAAAGAGAGTCATAAATCCTCCACGGGTAGCAAGGGGACTCAAAAGGGTTAAAAGTGACGTCCATAAAATTCCATATCCTAAAAGAAGTTTTCCTCCAATGTGAGCAGCAAGCCAACCACCAATCAATTGGGTGCAGATATAACCATAGAAAAAAGCACCCAAGATGAGACCCACTTCAGTGCTACTCCAGTTGAATTCTCCAGTCTGAAAAACAAAATAGGAAAAAAAAAATTAATATGAAAGTCGATAAATAAAATATTGAAAATATTTCCGACATTAATCACCGATTCTGAAAATTTTAAAATCAGTTTCTAATTACAGTGGTCTCCACATGCTTGGCTTTCAAAGACTTTAAATAAAAGTCAACAATTCAGAAGTTTTACTTAATAACTGACCCAAAGTATGGGAATGGTATTGACAATTTGAACGACGATATATACTCATGTATAAGCCGATTTCATGTATAGTGCGAACTCTGAAGGTTCTTGCATGAAATCTAACCCCTCCAGAAAAAGTTTACCTGTGTATAGTACAACTAGTCTTCAAAAATATATGATTTTTAACCTCTTCAAAAAAAATTACCTGTGTATAGTGTGATCCCATATTTTTAGCATAAAATAAAAACTCATCATAAAAACTCACACTCTATTCAAGTAAATATGTTATGCCAAACAGAGGCTGTAATTTTTTTTTTTTTTACAATAATGTTCACTCTGTAAAAGGCTCAAAGGCCACTCAAGGTAAAGGGATACATAGTAAGAGGTAAGAGGAACAGTTTATTGGGCTATGTGGGGAAAATAATGCTGAATCCTAAACTTGAACAGGTTAAGTGGATTTTTCAGTGCACACACATCGCTACCAAATGTGACAAAGTCAAGGTTTAAAGTGGGTTTAATGACAACAGCATGGAAAAATTGCTCAAGCCCCCTCTGCACTTACCCTTTTGGGAATATCTCAGGTGCCATGTAATGACCTCAGCCTCCTCCCAAAGGAGAAGTATTTGCCTGGAAGGATGGCTCGCTGGGGTTTGAGCTTAATATTATTTTGAAACTACCCAGCTGAAGTAAGTATAACTTGAACAAGTTAAGAGTGTCTGAACACTTTCCATGGAAATAATGATGAAGCAGTGAGAGGCTTCGTCTGTGAGGAAAGAGGTGGTAGGGTGGAAGACAATTCATTGTTTCTTTTAAGTGAAAAGGTGAACATTCTCAACTTTAAGGAAAGAAAATAGATATGAGGTTTACAATAAAAATCTATCCATCACATAACTTTAAGGAAAAAAAAAAAAAAGATATATTGATGTTTATAGTTTAGTTTGGTTTGTTTTACAGCATATCAACCTCAGTGGGTTATTTAATGCTGACAAGATTTATATTGCTGGTAATATTTTTTTTCAAAAAATGTATAGCTGGTAATTTTTTTTTTTCAAAAATGTATAATTTGGTTTGGCATATTAACCTCAATAGGTCAAAAATTTATTGCTGGTAATAATTTTTTTTTTACAAAGTATTTCTGATATTAAAACCTATTTTTACACTTTCAGTGCTTTGACCCCACCTTGGGGGGCAACCATTAACCCACAGCTGGGTCCCCAACCGGTGCCACCACATCGAGTCAGGGTGGACCCGAGAACACCAGCAACTGAGGCGGTTCCATGTTCCTCAAAACCTGCTGATCAGAGGCCTTGCTGTTGAACATAGTTTATCGTCATATCCAGGACGGGAGGTTTACAGTAGGAAAAAAAAAAATCAATCTAATCCATCACATAACTTTTTTGTTATGATTTTCTATTTTATTATCAGTTATTGTTGTTATTCTCTTAATGTGTCGAATTTATAAATTCAACTTTATGATAGGTCAGTACAGGGAAAACAGTATAAATATTTTAATTATTTCTCTTTTAATAAAGATTTCCTGAATATTCGGGCCGGTAGACAAAAATAAATATACTGTTTAAAAAAATAAACAAATTCAAATATGGGTATCAAGTAAAAATAAAAGTGATGCAACAAAAACATAGTGTGCATAAGTTTTGACACTAACTTTCGTTTTTAGTCATCTGCTAGATGTCTTTACCTTTGCGTATAAGGGGAGATTACTGTGTTAGTTTAGCCTAGGACTTCAGAGGGCCACAAGTGTAAAGTACCAATAAAGATAAAACGCCTTGCAGTTATGCTCCTTGGTGAGGTATACCTGATATTTAATAATGTCGCTATTTAATAATGTTGTTATTTAATAATAATGTTTTTACGTTTAATGATCATCACTAAGCAACAAATTGGAAATGAAGAATTTTTTTCTTCTTTTTAATTGCCAATGCTTACTTAACAATCCTGAAATGAGAATCTGGAAGTTTCACAATAAAAAGCAATTGAAAATAACATCAGAGAAATTAATAATTGACTGTATATTCCAGGTGAGAAACTAAAATAAAAAAAATAATAATGATACGTTTTTAATATTTTTTCTTTCTTGTGACTCATGATCACTTCTTCAGAGCAAATATCATCATGAAGAATTATGCAGTGAAAATTGTACAGATTGATTTGTTATTTATGGCTTAACCTTTTTTTAGATTGAAGAATGGTAGAGTGAGATATAATTTCATAATTCATAGTCTTCATTTACAACATTCATTAAAGCCCATAATTCAAAACACATACCTGATATTAATTTCAATTTATTAAGTATAGATATATATGGTAGTGTAACAGCATAGAAAATGAAATTGTCAAGCCAAGTTCAAATTCCAGCCTAGTCTGTTGCATTCACTTTCAAATATATGCCTTTGGAAAATACATGAATCCATCTCTTCTTCCTTCAGCTTTGGGTTAAATAGCAAAGTAGACTACAATCTCTAGCCTTAGTTGGCAACCTGTTGAATTCCAAACCATGGAGAAAAGAACAAGAAACTACTCCTCTATCTTTTCAAAGATTGGTTGGCAATTTACAGATAAATAAGAAAAGGTATCTGCAGATAGCGAAGGCTGCCAATGTCCTAAAGTGTCATGGCATTTAAAACAAGAAAAGTCTACATAAATAAAAAGGTTGAATTATAAGAAAACAAAAACATACACCTCCATAAAATTTTGAATGGAACTTTTATATTAATCTAAAAAGAACCTTGTTAAATATTTACAATAAGTTTTTTTCAGGATATAAATAAATATAGTAATATAAAAGTGAAAAATATTTTTCTTGCATAATTTGTGTATGTTCAAGTTTACAGGAGTTACTTCCCTTGCAACGCAATGAAAATAAGGATATTTCATTGAAATAACTGAATTTAAATTTTGTGTGTATGTGTATATATATATATATATATATATAAGCAAAATAAAATCATCCTAGATAATGGCTAAAAGTATAGCCAATAGTGCTTGGAATTACAGAACATTTGAACAGTTTCTACACACTGTGTCCAAAAAATAAAATACTTGTACAAAGACCAGTGTGTGTGTGTGTGTGTGTGTGTGTATATATATATATATATATATGTGTGTGTGTGTGTGTATGTACACACACACACATACATACATGTTTTGTTAAAGACAACTGACAAGGTACTGCAATTAAGCTTTTTCTTTAATTTTTCTAGTGTTTGTACAAGTGTTTTATTTTTTGGACACAGAGTGTGTAGAAACTGTTCAAATGTTCTGTAATTCTAAGCACTATTGGCTATACTTTTAGCCATTATCTAGGATCATTTTATTTTGCTTTTAACAGAATGTATGGGTTGTGTTATGTACGTATCTAGAGTTATAGGGATGTTTTATTTTCCAAACACAGTCACCACATTGTGGCCATGTTCGTAGTTAATATTATTGAGGGTTGGCTTTTCCTTTTTTATTATACATGTGGATGAGGTTATTTTATTGTATTTTCTACTAGTAAGTTTTGGATAGTGTCTGTTAGCTTTGTCCGTGTTTTTAAATCAGTTCTAATGGAGCTGTAGTTGGATAGGTATAAATATAGACACACACACACACATATATATTAATGTAAATATGGGTGACTTTCAAAAGCAGTATTTCAGGCTTTGTTTAACCGGAAGTCATACACTAAAATTGGTTAAGCACTTTCAATCTAATGACAGGACCCCTATAGGGGATGCAAGTTCAAATCCTGCCAGAGGACACATATTTCTCAAATATTCAGGTCAGTAAATGTAACTAAATGAAAATACTGTTTAATTAAATAAACAGAGCATTTACTTGAATATGAGTATCTATCTAAAATAACATTTTAGCAAAAGAAATTAATATTATATATATATATATATATATATATATACAGAGAGAGAGAGAGAGCAAGCATACCTTCATTCAAACAGGTTTCATTGAATAATATAGCCATATTGTCTATTTTTATACTGATGCTTTCCAGTTCTCTGATCCGTTTCTTGGAAATTCATCAAGGAATGCCCTGTAATTTTTTCCTACCCAAGTACTTTCAAAAATCATCCTCTGGGCTAAATTAGTAAGACAAACTTATTGTAGTTGTGATAAAACCTGCATTTCATTGTGATGGTGATTTTTAAAAAACGTGCATAAACACACCCTGTTATATTTATTTTAAATTTATCTGTTGTAGTTATGGTATGTTTTTCTAAAACACACATTTAAATATAAAGGACCGAACCGAAAATTGGTAGAAATGCAAAACGGCCTTAAATGTTTGCTATATGCAATTCAACACATTGCTGCTGCTACACTCATAATAATTTTGGTTAAGTGTTGGTTGGTTGATTTTGATATAGACTGCCTTGAGAATTTGAAGTTTTTGTTTATTATTTTCAAGGTGTAGTATATTGTTGTTATCAACAAGGATGATCTTGGAGGAGATCAAACATACTTGTGGAAGAAATAACTATGTCACCTTCCTTAATGAATTTCATCTTAACATTGAGAAACTGATTAGAGAATGGGAAAGGATCAATATAAAAATAAATAGACATAATATGTCTATATTATTCAATTATATATATACACACACACATGCCTCAAGGACAATAATATTAAATATTTCAAATGTCTATGACAAGGTGTAGCATAAAGGATTACTGCACAAGCTATGGAATCACTGGAAGAGTTTTCTCAATAATTGAGAATAATTCCTAACAGGTAGGTCTCTGAAGGAAGTTGCTAATGGCCAGTCCTCCGATGCCCAAGTGATCAACACAGTACCCCCCCACCAAATTTCAC